TCCGTACATTGCTTTGCCCTACTCTGCCCTCCAGCTGCCCCAGCTCCCGCCCCTGTGCTGGGGAAGCCAGGGCCAGACAGTCCTACCTGCCCTGTGACTTCAATCTACACCTACTGTTCCTCTCACCTTCTTCCCCCATTGAAACTGGCTTCTTCCCTGTGACACCACTTCCCTGGCGGCTCCCTCAAATACTTTCTGCACTTTGTACCACCAAGCATTGCTCTGCAACGCTCTAAGTAGAACAGTTTTCTTCTCTCCTGACACCCTCCAGCTTTGAGTTTCGAACCACCAGGTTCCACTGGGTGCACTTTCTCCATCTGCAGGCAGCTCCTGAGCCTTACCTCCTTCAATTTCTCTCTCCCTGCTCTCCCTGCCCCCATTTCTTCATTTCTTGAAGCTTCAGTTTGTGGCTCACCAGAAATCTTTCCCAGTCTGCTCTGGTAATAATTCTGGAGGATCTCAGTGTCCACATGGGCCACCCTTTCAATGCCCTGGCTTCCCAAACCTTTGGCCTCAACTTTTCCAGTTAAGTTTTCCTCTATACTAACTCGGCCACCAGCACTCCCGGCCCTCCCCTCACCCTGCCATTGCCAGTCCCTGCAAGCCTCCGTAATCTCAATGTCAAGGATCCCATTCTTTTTTTAAAAGATTTTATTTATCTCTTCATGAAAGACACACCAAGAGAGGCAGAGACACAGGCAGAGGGAGACGCAGGCTCCCTGCGGGGAGCCCAATGTGGGACTTGGTCCCAGGACCCTGGGATCATGACCTGAGCCGAAGGCAGATGCTCAACCACTGAGCCACCCGGGTGCCCCAAGGATCTCACTCTTCAGCTAGCACCTACTTTTCCAGCTAAACCTTGCTAGTACTCAAACTCTAAAATCTCTTTGGACCCACTGGGACCTAGAACTAATGGACCAACTACCTTTCCCATTCCCCTCTCTTCTCATCCCCCCTCTACTCTTTTGTGTCCTTGGGGGCGGGGACATTGTTCCTCACCATCTCTCCTCTCCCCTGCATCACCAACCCCCTACTCCTTTACAGAGTCACTCCCAGTGGCCTATAAACATGCCTCAGCTTTTCCTGTAAAAGAGAAAATTATCTTGATTCCGTCTTCCCCCACCCCAGCTACCTCATTTCCTTGCTTTCCTTTACAGCTAAATTCCTCAGAAAAGAAGTTACCTACATTTGTTGTCTCCCATTTCTCTTCCTCCTCTCAGATGAACCCAATTCAAGCAATTCAGGCAGGTTTTCCCTCCCTGTCCTCCCTCCCCCATGCCCTGGTCAAGGTCACCAATCACCCCCAAGTTTCAAATTCCATTGTTCATTTCTCACTGGGCTCATGCTTGGTCAGCAGGAGGCATGGATGATCAGTCTTCCTCCTAGAAATGTTTCCTGCCTATGGCTTCCAGTTCACACCCTCTTGGATTTCTTCTCACCTTACTCCAACCACATCTTATATTTTATACTTTTTACATGAAATGAGCATTACTGATTGTCACTTCAGAACTTCTGTACTCATTTATTCCCTATTTGGACAGTTCCTTTCCTAGACGTCACCAGGATGCTTTCTGGCACACCCTTTATGTCTTTACTGACAAATTACCTGTTCAGTGAGGTTATTTCTGACTACCTGATATAAATTTCACCTCTTCGAAGCCCCAGCTACCACTACCCTCTTTTTGGTTTTATTTTTCTCCATGGCCATAATAACCACCTAACATAATGAATATTAAATGTGTCTGTATGTACATAACATCACAGTTGTCCATTGGTATTTCTTTCTCCCTCCTATATTCCTATAACTGAGAATGGTATCTAGCACCTGAGTAGGTGCTCAGTAAGTATCTTCTGAATGAAAAGAAAGAAGGAAGGAAGGAAAAGTGCTTTTTCAGGAAACAAAGATCAAATTGTTGTGATACACCAGGACCCCATGTTGCACAACTAATCAGAATAATAGTGATTTTGATTGTGGCTCAATTACAATTCTAGGAGAATGCAAAGTGGCCTGACTTGTATGCAAAACTAAGGAGATGATTACAGTTGGCTTCTTTCCCTACTAATCACCAATGACTCTAACACAAATAGGGAAATAATTTGCAAATATTGGTACAAGTTAGAAGAGAGGGCTCCATTATCTGAGTGGAAATGTCAGGGCAACAATCAGTAATTCTTACTTTAAGAAATCTCTCAGGCTTTCGCAGGAAAATGGCTGGGAGATGCATGTGTTTTCCTAAATAGGTATGTTTGCAGGATTCAGTTATTAATTCTTACCTACAATGAAGGATAACTGATTTTGATTACAATTGAATAAACACTATGCCTGCTGAATTCTGGATTTTGCAGTATGAAAATATAAAGGAGACATTCTGAAACCTGTTAAATCAAGGAATTGAAAATAATTTTAGTTTTTTTATCCTCCCCCTATTAACTCCTTTCTGTTTTTTTTAATTTTTATATTTTAAATTTTTTAATTTAAAATTTTAAATTTTATTTAAATTCCATTTGCCAACATATAGTATAACACCCAGTGCTCCCCCTATCATGTGTCCTCCTTATTGCCCATCACCTAGTTACCCTATGCCCCTACCCACCTCCCCTTCTGCAACCCTTTGTTTGTTTTCCAGAATTAGGAGTCTCTCATGGTTTGTCTTCCTCTCTAATTTTTCCCCACTCAGTTTCCCCTCCTTCCCTTATGGTCCCTTGCACTGTTTCTTATATTCCACATATGAGTGAAACCATATGATAATTGTCTTTCTCTGATTGACTTATTTTGCTCAGCATAATACCCTCAAGTTGTGTCCTCGTCGATGTAAATGGTAGGTATTCACCCTTTCTGATGGCTGAGTAATATTCCATTGTACGTATATACCACATCTTCTTTATCTATTCAACTGTTGAAGGACATCGTGGCTCCTTCCACAGCGTGGCTATTATAGACATTGCTGCTCTGAACATTGTGGTGCAGGTGTCCCATCGTTTCACTACATCTGTATTTTTGGGGTAAATACCCAGTAGTGCAAGTGCTGGGTCATACAGTAGCTCTATTTTTTACTTCTAGAGGAACCTCCACACAGTTTTCCAGAGTGGCTGCACCAGTGTGCATTCCCACCAAGAGTGCAAGAGGGTTCCCCTTTCCCCACATCCTCGCCAACATTTGTTGTTTCCTGTCTTGTTAATTTTAGCCATTCTCAGAGTAAAGTGATATCTCATTTTGGTTTTGATTTGTATTTCCTTGATGACAACTTATGTGGAGCATTTCTTCATGTGCTTGTTAGCCATGTGTATCTTTGGAGAAATGTCTGTTCCTGTCCTCTACACATTTCTTGACCTGATTGTTTTTTTGGGTGTTGAGTTTGATAAGTTCTTTGTATATCTTAGGTCCTAACCCTTTATCTGATATATCATTTGCATAACTTCTCCTACTCCCTAGGTTGCGTTTTAGTTTTGTTGACTGTTTCCTTTGTTGCACAGAGGCTTTTTTTCTTGATGAAGTCCCAATAGTTCATTATTGATTTTGTTTCCCTTGGCTTTACAGATGTGTCTCACAAGAAGTTGCTGTGGCCAAGTTCAAAAAGGTTGCTGCTGTGTTCTCTTTTGTGATTTTGACAGATTCACATCTCACATTTATAACTTTCAACCATTTTGAGTTTATCTTTGTGTATGGTGTGAGAGAATGGTCCAATTTCATCCTCATGCATGTGGCAGTCCAATTTTTTCAACACCATTTATTGAATAGACTTTTTTCCCCACTGGATATTCTTTCCTGCTTTATCCAAGATTAGTTGACCATAGAGCTGAGGGTCCATTTCTGGGTTTTCTATTCTGTTCAATTGATCTACATTTTTGTTTTTGTGGCAGTACCATGCTGTCTTGATCACAGCTTTGTAATATAGTTTGAAGTCAGGCATTGTGATGCCCCCACCTTTGGTTTTCTGTTTCAACATTCCTCTGGCTACTTGGGGTCTTTTCTGGTTCCATACAAATCTTAGGATTATTTGTTCCAACTCTGTGAAGAAAGTCCATGGTATTTTGATAGGGATTGCATTGAATGTGTAAATTGCTCTGAGTAGCATTCTTCTAATCCATAAGCATCAAATGTTTTTCCATCTCTTTGTGTCTTCCTCAATTTTCCTTTCTGTTTTTAATCTAATGTTGGACACAGTCATCCAATTTTACAACATACATGTATGAAAGAAAAACATACTGACCAAAAATGCATCAATAAAACTCATCTTCCTTTGCATATTCCCTGGTCAGATGTGGCAAAGATGTCCTTTGAGTAAAAGCCAGTAAGAGGGTGAGGTAGGTCTCCCTTTCATGCTGTCAACTATTTGGTGTAAGCATTTCAAGAATAACTTGACATCAAGGTTTAACATAATACCATGGAAGCTGTAATTCTATACAAAGATTAAGAAATTTACTTTTATGCAGTCAAAAGTATGTGTGTATAATTCAGCACCCTGAATTATTTACTTAGCACATCCATTTAGAATCTGTCATCTGAGTACCACAGTACTTAAATAATCTACTTTTAATGGGTCATCCTTTGTATATAAGTCACAGATTCACATCCAGAGAAAGCAGTTGCAGTGAAATATGGAGAACATGCACAAAGTGCAAAGGTCTGGTGAGAGGAGCTCTCACACTCACCCACAGACATCATGTCAGACCACCTGCGACGACTGATCTCTTAGGCATCATGCATCTGGGCACTTACTTGTTTGCTTATCTGCCAATACGTTATGCCTGCTTACTGCCAGCATCCTGAGATGAAATACTCTGGCAGATAGCAGATGTACCAATTAATAACCTGTCAGGTCTGATGGATAGAAGAGGAAAAGAGTGTCCTCACACATATCTATGGTGTGGCTTTCTTCCCCATTTTAGGGCGCCAAGGGTCAGGAGACATACTCTGCCTCCCTGGAGAGAGCCCAAAGTGTCTCATTAGTGTCTATCTTTCATGACACTGTGGCGCTGCCTTTGAGAGGCTGACTCACCTGCTCTTCTCCAAGAATCCTGAAGTGATGGAGCTCTTTAATCAAGGAGTTGGGGCAGCCAGCTGTTGGAGAAAACAATGAATCACAAACATGTTATTACCATTCTGTACAGTAATGTGTTTTTATGTGCAGTTCTGACTATCAGCTGCAGTATTATTGCGGAGGACAAACACACCTACCTGCACAACATGTTCCAACCAACCACACAAAAGACATACCTTTGAGGGAGCTATGACTGCTGTCCAGGTCCCCTCTGTGACACTGGGAAGGAACTGCAGGTGAGCCTCACCAGGACTTTTCTTCCTTCTGATTGGGATCTGGCCTTTGTGGGGCTTTAGGCTCCCACATCATTTCTGTCCAGTGTGTTACTCTCCCTCATAGAGAACCAGGATTCTGACCAGAGTGGGAGAATTGGTGAGTGTAGGTTCATTGCCCTTATTGACCACACCCTGTTCCCTCGCTTTGCAGGCAGGGACCCTGCACACAGAAAGATAAAGAAGACAGGGCAGCTGGACACCGCATCTTCATGGGATTTGGTTGTAGTTTAGAACCATGCCTGGTTTTTTCAGGAGGATCTGTCATGACCAGAAGGATCCCGTTTTTTGGTCTGGAAAGGAGTTCTTATGGAAAGGACTCAAGAAGAGAGCCAGAATAGTTTGGGTGCTCATGACCTTCCATTCTACCCAGTCAGTAGGAGCCTCTTTAGGCTTTCAGATTTTCTTTCTCCATTTGTAAAAAGAAATAAGTAAATAAATTATATATATGTATGCCAGCACATGCTTAATTATCATTTTAGTAGATGTGCTGCCAAAGCGAGCACATTTAAGTTATGTTCCATCTCTATCTTTTTAACAGAATAATCCTACATATTAGGTTGTAGTCATTTACAATCTTAACTCTAGTAACAAAAATTGACATAAAAGCCCATTTCCTAGATACAGTCTATGGATTACATAATCTGTTGAAGTTTCTAGTGAGGAATCGGGTTGCATGCACAATGTACCAAAGCAATCACTGTGCTGTTGTCCTTGTTACTCAGCATTGAGAAATAAGGAGGATGAAAGTAACCGAGGACATCGGTCTAGGGAGGACAGGCTGAGGAAGGAGGGAGTTGTCATCGTCACCGGGGTGAAGGAGTTATGCTTTGCCAGAGAGATTCAATTTGTGCTTGGTTCTAGAAGATAGCATTAGAACTAATAGGCAAAAATGACAGCAGTAGACTTTGGTTCAATATAAAGAAATTTCTAACTTAAAAATGGACTACACTGCCTTATGAGCTAGTAACTGTAGGTTTTCAGACACAGGCTAAATGACTATTTCCGCAAGATACTGCAGAGATGAATTTGACAGAGTCCATTCCAGTTCAGAAATTCTCTGGTCTTGTAAAATGCTGAAACACAGTTTTAGTGTTTGATGTTATATTTGACACAGTCTTTATTAATTTATTTTTATTTATGATAGACACACAGAGAGAGAGAAAAAGGCAGAGACACAGGAGGAGGGAGAAGCAGGCTCCATGCCGGGAGCCCGACGTGGGACTCAATCCCGGGACTCCAGGATCACGCCCTGGGCCAAAGGCAGGCGCCAAACCACTGAGCCACCCAGGGATCCCCCGACACAGTCTTTGATATAACATTTCATACTTTGAGAGACTGGTTTGTAAATGCTTACCAAAGTAGTACTAAGGAGTTTTAAAAATATAAACACAATGTAAACGGGTGATGTCACCACCTGACAATAGACCAATAAAATAAATGAAAATCCTGAGATGGATATTTTGGCAGAAAACATAGCAGGTTAATTGCCTCAGGCACACCAATGCTATAAAGAAAGGAAGCTAGGTCCTTGACATTAGAACTGTGTTTGTTCAACTGGATGCCATAGGCATGAAGTCTGAAGGTTCTTTTCGAGATGCTCATATTAGATATTTTCATAACTATCTAAACAATTAGGAGAAGTCATACTGGATTATTTGGTTGGCTGCCATTCAACCAAAAACTATAGTGGAAGTTCAGCCTCATACCAGTTCTAGAGTTTTAGATCATCTTGGGAACAGGAAGTTCTGTGAAACTCGTAAGGAAAGAGCTCTAGGGATGTGTTCCCAACAAGTGGGGGGCCCATGGTCTGGCACCAAGTGTAGGAGGTGCACTCGGGGCGGGGGACCATGGGCACAGGGACACCAAGCCAACCAGCCAGGGCCTTGTCTGCATCCTGGGAGAACAGTTTAGGAGCTTTAAAATGCCAGCATCTGTGATACTCAATTCACAGAGCTAACTGGAATACTTTTTTTAAAATTTACATTTAATTTATAAACTTTCACTGGGGCCTTCCAGTTGTAGGAATATAAAATGTTTATGTCCTCATTTATATTGAGATGTATTTAAAAGGATACTATTTTGCGGAATAGGTTTATTCAACCTTGGAGGTTTTAGAGGATTTTTTTTAAAGTAGTCCTCCATGTCCCTCAAATTTGAGAAAGACTTATTTGACTTCATTTAATGCCAGGTAAAATAAGAAACAGAATTTAAAATTAGCCTGTCTTCAGGATTTGTATTCTAACACTCTCCTAAGATGTAACTACAAGGATTGATGTCAATGAGGGTTCCAATATAAACATCTTTCACAGAAGACTAGATAATTACTTGTAACACCTGGAAGGAGGAATAAAGTATAATAAACGAGGACACATATGGCATTAGTTACAAGGGAAGATGTGTGAGGGGTCAAGACTTTTAAGAGACCATCGAGGAGCATCCTGCTCGCTGCAGAAACATCAGTGTGGGAAATGGACAGCCCCAAGCTCCCTGTGAAGGCAAGTTCCCAAATTATGAAACTAGAAACATAAGACACACAGGGAATCCAGTAGTGTGAGGAGGGAGGTTGGGGTGCCAGGAGAAAGAAAGAGCCTGGCAAAGAAGGATTCCGTGAAGAGTGTTGTTAATGCTGGGGCTGCACTCTTGCTTTTTCCCAATTCTTCACACAGAGTCTCCTCCTGCATGGCAATGGGTCATCTTCTGGAGCCACCATGGCCTACTTGGGCCAGTTGAATCCTCACAGTGCCCAGCATTCTCTGCCTTCAGGCTCCCAAGGGGAAATCTTTTCTCAAGATCATAGAGGAAAGGCTCCTATTAAAATGTGCACGTGGTGAGGGGACATGGTGGCTGGGTGGCTCCGTTGTTAAGCAGGCAACTCTCGGTTTTGGCTGTGGTCATGATCTCAGGGTCATGGGATGGAGCCCAGTGTCTGGCTCTACACTCAGTGGGGAGTCTGCTTGAAATTCTCTCTCTCTCTCCTTCTGCTCATCCCATTTGTGCATTCTCTCTCTCTCTCTCTCTCAAATAATCTTTAAAATAAATAAATAAAATGTGCACATGGGACATCATGCCACCCCCCGCCCCATAGGGTTTCCATCTCAAAGAAGGCAGTGGCCTTCTAGGTCCTCCACCCTCTGAGCCCTCTCTCTCCCTCCTCATCCCACCGGGCTTGATCGCCTGCCTGCTCCTGACCATTCCACACGCTGCTGTCTCCAGCCTTCTGTGCTTGCTGCTCCCTATCCCCAGAAAGCTCTTGGCCCTGACATCTGCATGGGGGGGCTCCCTGCCTCCTGCATGTCCTTTCTCAAACGTCACCTTCTAAGTGACACTGCTTGGGGCGGCCCTGCATGAAATTGCAGCCTGTTTTCACTCCCTTGCCCACACATCCTCATCACGCTGTATTTTCTCCAGAGTGAAATCATCTTCTAATGTACCTTACACCTCATGTACTTTATTCTCTGTCACCAGCTGCTGAAATGCGAAGGTGACACGTGGAGGGATGGTTGCTGACTTGTCCCTGTGGTATCAGCCATTCCCACAACAGTGCCCGGGTATGTGGCACTCACTCAACAGCAGGTGCTCTGTGGATGAGTCCCCTGCCATGTGGTCACCATGGCACATGGTGGCTGGGCAATGGTGGCACCCGGGAGGGGGGCTCCCACACCACTCCTCTTCCCCCTCCCAGAAGTCTCAGTTCTGACCTCCAGCCCTGCAGGTGCTTTGCTTCCTGCGTATTGGTTACATGGTCTTTTCTGAACACTCATCTTTCATGTCCTCCAGGACCTCGCACCTTCTTTTCCTTCTCTGGGTCCAGTCTTGCCAATCACTGCTAGTGTAGCAACCAGGGCTGGAAGTCTAATAGAAACCACGTCATCTCCCTGATGCTGCACCCCTGCTGAGTGGGGGTCCAGTCCTGGTAGGCCCTGGCTGTGGCTGGCCTTTCAGTTTTCTTTGGCCAGCACCCCCTCACCTCCCTTGGGAACTCACCAAACCATCACCATTCTTCTTAATTAACCTCTAACACTTCATTCCCAAAATAAGACTTCACCTGACACAGGTGTAAAGCTCTTGTCGTGAACGTGGAGACAAGGGCCCCAGCCCCCCCACAAGGAAGGACCATGGCTGAGCTGTCTAGGGACAGTGACAGAGCCGTGCCCTTAGCTGCAGACAGTTGCCTCATCTCAGGTCATGTCTTCCAGGGACCCCAATCTGCTGCCCAGGACAGCACCACCTAGCTGCGTGGACTGCACCTGCTCTGAGGCTCTGCAGGGGCTGAGGCTCTGTGAGGCCTGGATGACAGTGTGACTCCCTACTCTGTCCAAGCTGGCTCCCTTCCCCTCCTTCCGAGGTGCCAACCCAATAAACACCAGTACTCCATCCTCTGCCTCAGCCTCGACTTCCAGGGAACCCAGCTGGTAGCTTTCAAGGGCGCCATCCCTGAATTTCATATCCCCTCCTGATTATGACCCCCTGTTTCTATCCGTCTCTACTCCTCCAGACTAAAAGGGGAAATAGTGTCTTTCTCAAAACAGGGCTCATTCTTCATCTGTCCTAACCTGTCCCTGCTCAGCCCCTAGTAGAACTAACGCACCAATCATTCCCTCTCCTCATGCTCTGCCACTTTGTGGCATGTTCACTTCAAACAAAGTGCTATTCAAGTCTTCCCTTTAAATATTCAGCAAAAATCCAGCCTTGAGCATGTAGTTAGCACCTTCACTTCCTTTCTCCTTTCATTACAATGGTCTCTG